TGTGCTGGGAGTTGGGGAGGGGAGCGCTGTTCTTTTCCCCTTTACTCTACCGTGAATAAAGGAGGACATTTGCTGCTCCTAATAAGCCGCAAACTCTGCAGTCCAGAGCTGATGCTCTTCCTGGGAGAGTCCCGTGTGGGCAACAGCACCCCATCCTGCTCAGCAAACCCTCTTATCCCAAGACTCGTCTTCCCTTCAGGGCTTCTTACTGGTTTCCCTGCCTGTCACCATCTGGACGTATGAGAGGTCATTCTACTTTCTATACTCTGGCCCCAAATGGAGACAAAGGATTCTTTCCTTTTACTTAATGCCGCAGCTCAACTGAGCAGGTGGGGTTGTGGTGTTGAAATAAGGCTCTGGTTTTTTGTTTTTTTTTTTGTTTTTTTGAAAAAAAAAAAAAGGAGTTTAGGGGAAATAGCAAGGAAAGCCACACAGCAAACTCTGGAAGCAGATTCTCTGACTGGTAAGTCACAGTGAGGTCACCTGTCTCTCCAGCTCCCCTGCTGGGAGCACAGCCCCAGAGCAGGGCCAAGATGTGAAAGCCCTGGCGGGACTCTGCCTTCTGGGTGTCCAGGCCCTGCTTCGTCCCCAGGTTACTGCAGGGGGCCGCAGGGCGCCGCCACCCACCTCCACACCTCGCGTCCACACAGCAGCAGCGGCAGGACCGGATCCCAGTGAGGAGGAGGAGGGTGTGGCAGGCAGTGACACCACACTGCTCAGCACCTTGGCAGCCCTGGGGCCTGGGGGGATTATTCATAAGGGGACCCATACAGACCTTCAAGGTAATTTTTTTTATTTTTATTTTTAATTATGATGGTACATAACAGTTGCATGTCTTTATGGGGTATGTGTGGTGTTTTGATACAGGCATACAATGTGAACTAATCAAATCTGAGTAATTGGGGCATCCATCCCCTCAGGCATTTATCATTTCTTTGTCTTAGGAACACCCCAATTCCACTCTTTTAGTTATTTTGAAATATACCTTGACTTGTTGTGCTATCAAATATTGTTCATTCTATCTAACTATCCAGCTATATTTTTGCACCCGTTAACCATGCCCACCTTATCCCCCTCCCCGCTACCCTTCCCATCCTCTGGCAGCCAGAATTCTGCTCTGTGTCTAGGAAATCAATTGTTTTTAACATTTATCTCCCACACGAGTGAGATATGCTCCCTAATAAGCCGCAAACTCTGCAGTCCAGAGCTGATGCTCTTCCTGGGGGAGAGTCCCTGGGCAACAGCACCCCCATCCTGCTCAGCAAACCCTCTTATCCCAAGACTCGTCTTCTGTGTCTTCTTTGTCTTTCTGTGTTGGCTTATTTTACTCGTTTCCAGTTCTGTCCATGTTGTTGCAAATGGTAGGATTTTATTCTTTTGTGGCTGTATAACATTCCAGTGTGTGTATGTATCACAATTTCTTTATCCGTTGATTCATTGATGAATACTTAGGTTGCTTCTAATCTTGGCTATTGTGAATAGTGCTGCAATAAACAGGGGAGTGCAGATATCTTTCCAATACACTGAATTACCGTCCTTTGGACATATGCCCAACAGTGGGATTGCTGGGTCATATGGCAGAATTTTCAGTTTTTTGAGAAATCTACATACTGTTCTCCATACTTGTTGTACATATTTTCATTCCCACCAACAGTGGGCATGGGTTTCCCTTTCCCCACACCTCACCAGCGTCCATTATGGCCTATGCTTTTGATGATGGGTGAGATGACATCTCATTGTGTTGTTTTGATTTGCATTTCTGATGACTAGTAATGTTGAGCATTTTTCATACACCTGTTGGCCATTTCTGTCTTCTTCTGAGAAATGTCTGTTTGGATCCTTTGCCCATTTTAATTGGATTATTTGATTTTTTCCTATTGAATTCTTAGAGCTCCTTATATATTCTAGTTATTAATCCCTTGTCAGATGGGTAGTTTGCACATATTTTCCCCCATTCTGTGGGTTGTTGCCTCACTTTGTTGATTGTTTTTGCTTTGTTTTGTATTTTGCTGTGCAGAGGCTTTTTAGCTTGATGTGACCCAAGACAATTAATTTAACCTTGAGACTGACCGGGGCAATCTAGTGCACATGGCCCTTACCTGGGGACTCTGTCCACAGCCCAGGTGATGGCAAGGACGGCCATGCCAGTGACAGTGTGGGCAGTGAAGCCCCCATGGCCTGCTTCCAGCAGCCGCCCAGGCACGGAGGCAGTTGAGTGCCAGTTGAGAGAGGCTCTCTGCCCAGCCCCGAAGCCCCGCCGACCACCCCAGCACCATGGGCTTTCCCTCCAGGTCCCCGTCTCACCACTGCGCCAGCGCCAGTGTTGCCTGCCCACGGTCTCAGCAGGCCGGACTGGGCCTGCCAGGGATGGCGTGAGACAGCAGTTCTCAAGGTGTCCCTAGACCAGCAGGATCCCCAGGAAGCCTCTTAGAAATGGAAATTCTCAGGCTCCAGATCAGATCTACTGTACCAGAAACACCAAAGCTGGCCCAGCAACCAAGGTGTTAACAGCCTCCAGGGGATTCTAATGTATGCTTAGGCTGAGAAGTGCAGGTGTGAAAGAAGCCTTCCCACAGGGGGGTATATCAGGATTGGCCTTTGAAGGATGAATAGGAGTTTGCTGCACAGAGGGTATAAGCATCCTGGGCAGAGAGCTCAGTATCTGTGGAGTCCTCACCCCTGCTTGCTTCTCGGCTTTCTCCCCAAGGATCTGCTCGCCACCCATGGCTCCCGATGCCTGGGCTTCCATCGCATGCCTCTGGAGAAGGTGGGGGGAGAGCTCTCATCTGCTGTTCCCAGACAATCTCTAATCTCCTCCATGCTGATTCTGGCCGGTGTGGCTGTTCTGGTCAGGCTGAATGTCATTTCCTGGAGTCCGTTGCATTGTGCAACCGGAGGGGGACAGGGCCTGGAAAGCACAGTGAACCAGGGGGCTTTCCTGTCCCCGGTGCCCCCAGCGGACTTGGGCTTACAGGGAGCCCATGCTGGGAGGCCCGACTGGTGATGCCCTGGTCTCAGGCCCCACCTGCCCTCCCAGCCCACCTGTCCTGCTGGAAGTGCATCTGGTATCCCGGTATGTAGATTTGGGTACAAGGTCCCCAACACAAGCCAAGAAATGCACCCCAAGTGGTTGAAGCCAAGTACCTCATCTGGAAATCAGCTCACTAAGGCTCCCACTGGGCAGTGCCCTGTAGGGTTGAACTCCCTGACTCAGAGCTCTTTGGGCTTGAGCTGGGTGACTCCTGACTCTCACGGTGGCTGCATGACTAGGGATAACAATAACACCTTTCTGGGACTCAGCTTCCAAATCTATAAAATGGTGACAATAATAAGTCCTACCAAATGGGACTGCTGTGAGCACTAAGTGAGTTAAAACCTGGTAAATGCTGAGAAGGGTACCAGCACCTGGTAAGCAATTGCTAATTGTTTTTAAAGGAAGAGGGAATAACAGTCCCCTGTAACCCTGGCTGCATTGGACAGACCAAGGTAAGACATGCTGGTCTTCTAGAAATCCCTAGGGGCAATTCCAGGTATTCGAGTTTCTCCAACCATCCCTGCCAACCTAAGCAAGGTCTGTTCCTTCTTACAGAACTGGGAGGTGCTCAGTGATTGGAAAGGTCTAGCACTCCACCTCTCGGTCCACTCATTCACATGTGCATGCATTCAGTCCCGCGCGCAGTGACCGCTTACTGAGCACCCACTCTGTGCTGGGCACTGAACTGCAGAGTCCAGCAGCCACTTACACTTGCTGCGCCTCTGCCGTGGGTCCTACCATGGAGCAGCACTTTGAACACTGAGCCCCTCTCTGCCTGGCTCCCAAGCATGCCTGCTCTCTCTTTGCTGACCTGCTGCTTTCTTTCATCCTCTTCCCCAACAGGCTCCTCCCTGCTCTGGCCCAGCCTGAGGTCTGTTCCCCCCACCTGCTCTCCCTCCCAACACCGGCAGCCCATTCTTATCAGAAAGAGGCATCTGGCTACTTTGCTGAGGAGAATGACCTTAGAGCCCTATAATTAAAGTGATTACCTGAGCATCCTTCTCTGTTTCATCCTTCTCTGTTCCACCGAAGCGACACCTGGTGCTGTGGTCCGTCCCCACTAGAACTCATGTGGAAATTAGATCCCCAGTGTGGCAGCGCTGGAGATGGGGCCCAGCGGGAGGTGTCCGGGTCACGGAGACGGCTCCCACGCGTGGACTGACGCCCTTCCCAGGGAAGGAGTGGGGCAGGGAGTCCTTGCACTTCTTGAGTCCAGAGCTCTCATAATGGGAACACAGGGTTTCCATGTTAACGCTGATGCTTCCCAGTGTCGAACAGATCTTCTCACTCATCTCCCGGAGGAGGCGAGACTTTCTGTGCAGCAGCCCGAGGAAACACTTAGGTTCCCACTCTTCCAGAGATCCTAGTGCTCTGGCCAGGCCCCTGAACTTCAGAATACACACTCAGTAACTTGGATGGCACCACAGAGCCCTCCTTCCCACTGGAGAGTCAATCGAGAGACCCATGCAGGCGCCCTGGGAGGGGCTTCTTCTGGAGAGAAGGAGAGGAGGTCCAGCCCAGAGGCCAGAGGACTGGCTAGGTCCTGTGAGCTTGTGGGCGCGTCCCCTCCCTGAGCCTCCGTGTTCTGCCTGTGAAATGGACCAGCAGTGCCAGGCACCTCACGGGACTGCTGTGAGACCTGCGGCACCGTGGATTGAAGGCCACCGAAGCGACAACTGGTGCTGTGGTCCGTCCCCACTAGAACTCATGTGGAAATTAGATCCCCAGTGTGGCAGCACTGGAGATGGGGCCCTGCGGGAGGTGTCTGGGTCACGGAGACAGCTCCCTAACGCGTGGACTGACGCCCTTCCCAGGGAAGGAGGGGGGCAGGGAGTCCTTCTTGCGCTCGCTCGCGGGACTGGGTCGGTCCCTGGAGGCAGTGGCGGTGCAAGTGCTGCGGTGCTGCCAGGCAGGAGAGCCTTCCTCTCTCACCGTCTCACCGCAGACCCTTCTCTTCTGTTCGCAGAGCCTGGCCGGGGGATGCCCTCCACCATCACTGACATCGCTGTCATAGCAGGTGAGCTGTCGTCACAGGGCCCCTCATGCAGCCGGGAGGGTCTCAGACGAAATGCCCAGGGGAGAACTGGTCTGAGGACTTGGGTGGAGGCAGCTGCAGTCGCCTCTTTCCCTCCCTCCGAGTTGGTTTCGAATGTGGAATGGGAAGTCCAGCCCTGGCTAAGGAAGTCCAGCAGTGTCCTGGCAGAGCAGGCAGAGCGGGGTGACAGGAGGGGCAGGCCCAGTGTCGGGAGGTGCCCCTCTCAGGGTGCAGAGTGTGGCTCTGGACAGGGAGGTTCGAAGGCGGAGGCGGGTGGGCAAGTGGACTGACCAGGCTGCCTGGGCTTCTCCCCCAGCCGACCCCGCCTGTGGCCCGCCCTGCGTCCTATGGCCCTGCCATCCATCCCGAGTCTGACCCTGCCCCCACCTTGCTGTGAGCCCTGGGCAGGTGGCTCCCCGGGTCATGACTGTGAGTCCAGATTGTGTTTCAGGAACAACCAAGTTTGGGAAATGTCACATGCTCTGTGTCTTCCTTTGAGAGCCACGCTTCTCACTAGCTTATTAATCGCTCAGGGAACTTCTACAATTAAAAAGAAGGAAAAGGGAGCAAAGACCCCTGTTGCATTCCGGGCAGGCAGCATTCTCCAGCTCACTGACCACTGAGCCGTTCTCAGTCGGCATCGTCGGCAAGTGCAGGCACAGCGCTCCCCTGAAGGCCCAGGAAGTTCAGGAAACTTCTCTGTGAAGTGGGCTCAGGAGCGGCCCAGCCGGCCTGTTCTCCGCGGCTCCCCAGGCCCCATCCGCCTGCATTCTGAGGAAGGGCAGAGGCTTGCTCCGCAGCTTCCAATCAGTGCACAGACTCGCAGCACCCCGATGGGACTGCGGCCCTCAGCCCCTGACCCCTCACCCGCCACTCCCAGGGCCCAGTGGCCTGACGCCTCCGGAGTCCCGGTGGATGGCGTGCTCAGCAGGACCCTCTCGCTCAGTCCTGCAGGTGGCCACGCCCCGGCCCTCCTGCAGATTCGTGGCAGTCCTCACTTCCCAGGGAAACGCCACACCTCACACCACCTGTCCCAAGTGCGGCTAACAGCCCTCGTCTTTGTCCCCTGCGTGGTGCATAGGAGGTAACAAGCTCTTCCCGGTTTTCCGGGACCTTCCTGGTTTTAGCATGGAAAGTCCCACGGTCCCAGAGCCCTTCAGTGGGGATTGTGCTGCTTTAAAAGGTGAAGCTCTGCATGAACCCCACAGTTTCAGGCAAACGCATGCACTTCCCTTACGCAAATAAGTCTGCCTTCTTCAATAGACTGTGAGCACCTCCAGGCAGGGGCCGCCCTGGGACTCCACCCAGCCTGTCTGCAGAGCGCTGGGCTGGTGGGGAGGAGAGGAAGGAACGGAGAGAGAGGAGAGAACGAGAGAGAAGGGAGCCTTTGTGGTGGGCACAGATGAGAAGCCAGCACCCCAGGCAGAGGACACATACAGAAGGAAGGGACCTGCCGTTGGTACAGATGGCCTCCAACTTACGGGTTTTCAACTATACAATGATGCAAAAGTAAATACATTCAGTATAAACCATACTTTGAGTTTTGAATTTTGATCTTTTCCTAGGCTAGCAATGTGCAGGATGAATACACTTTATTAATATGTCGTAGGCTTTGTGTTAGATAATTTCACCCAGCTGTCAGCCTATGTAAGTGTTCCGAGTCCGAGTAAGGCGGCTGAGGCTGAGCCGTGATGTTCAGCGGCAGGTGTATTAATGCATGTGGACCTGTGATACTTTCAGCTTATGACAGGTTTACAGGAATGTGACCCTGTCTTACAGTGAGGAGTGTCTATGCTTGTTACAGCAGCATGTCTTTCCTGACACACCCTGTCCCTTGTCCCAGGGCCCCTGTACCACACTGACCCATGCATTTCTTCCCACCTGCAGGCGTGATTGCTGCGGTGGCCCTCGTCCTGGTCTGCCTCCTCCTTGTCATGCTACGCTACCTGTGTCGGCACAAGGGCACGTACCACACCAATGAGGCCAAGGGCACGGAGTTTGCTGAGAGTGCAGATGCAGCCCTGCAGGACGACCCTGCCCTCCAGGATGTTGGTGGTGGCAGCAGAAAGGAGTACTTTATCTGAGGGGCTCCTGACCTCACCTCCCCAAATGCTTCCTCAAGCCCCATCGTAGAAAATGCACCCCACCACCCACCAGCGCTGCTGGGACCTCCGTGCAGACTGCAAGAGCAGCCGCCTCTTCCCGCCCCCCGCACCTGGGAGCACTCGGTGCCCACCCAGGGAGGAAAGCAGGGTCTCTAGCTGCGAGAGGCATCTCCCAGGGACACAGGGAGGCAGAGGCCACCCCGAGAGGCCAGCCTTTGCTCTGGCAAAGAGGGAGAAAGTCTGAGCACACAGGTCTCCTGGGCAGGCCGAAAGGTCATCTCATTGGCGTGAAAGTCCTTGCGGAGGGTGAGTGGGCGCGGGCCTGGGGGCCGGGAAGCAAGGAAGTGCATCATCAGTGCACTGCCCGAGGATAGCGGCATCAAATGTCAGTCCTTGACATTTGGGGTGAACAGCAGGTGCCACAGTGAAAGGGTACCTTTGTCTCCCATTGATCCAGCTTGAAATGATTGGAAATAAATTTGAAATGTAACAGAGCACTCAAGAGTCTGCCGGCGTTACTGTAGGCGCGGGGGAAGACAAACGGCACCGGGCTTGCTTCTTGCCCTCCCGCGGGCCAGTTCCCAGAGAGCACAGGTGGTGCGGTCGGCCGGGACCTGCCCCAGCACCCGCTGCAGGAAACAAACGTGGATGAGATGCCCCTCTAGAAAGAGATTGTCTCTGGGCAGCGCACTGGCTGAGGAGTTGATTTCCTAATGCACAATACTAGACAAACCAGACCTGATGAACAATATGAGTGAGCCCCGTCCTTCCCATGACCATGGTGACGGCACCTGTTGCTGCCCGACCGGGTTCATCTGCCCGCTGCCCAAGTGGCAGCCAGCGCGCCGAGCCGCAGGCTCAGGGCAGAGTGTCTTCAGTCCACACAGCGCTAAGCCGGGAGATGGGAGGCATTTCTCAAATCTGCCGCCTGAGAACTTGGGAGACAGGGCTTTTAAGGATGGTTTAGCAGGCAGGGGATTAGGTAATTAGGTCTGTTAATTGGGGCAGAATTATAGGAGTGTGGAAACCATCTTCCTGTGTTGCTCCAGTCCCTGGAGTCACAATCCAATTGAGTCAGTTTCTAGGTCTGGGCCGCTGGTCTGGGTGGGCCAGTGGATCCACTGGACCGAGGGGCCTGGATGGTATCATGAAACCACCCTTAGGTTCTGAAAAGGTGACAGAGAAAGTTAAGAATCTTTATGGACAGCAGCTGCGTGGCTCTGGAGTGGCAATACAGGGGACAGTTGCTATTATCATTAATTTTATCCATCCCTCAGGGGGCCCAGGGGCTGTCCATGCCAAGCTTGGCTCCCTGGCTGCTCCACTCACCTCCCCTTCCTCACCTCTGCTCGTCCTCACTCTTTTGCCTGCCCAGCGTCCTGGGACACTATTGGGCCATAGCCTTCTCCCCAGGTCCAGCCGGAACCTGGCTCAGCAGCAGAAGCAGCAGCGACTCGGAGACTGTAGGGCTGAGTCATCCAAGGTGGCTCAGTCCAGATGACACCGAGCAGAGAGCTGTCACAGGCTACCTGCAGAGGCCAGATGGCCACACCAAAGAGTAGAGCACCTTAAAGAGATGTTGTGCATACACACACCCAATGCACACTGGTGGGCAAAAAGTCATCCTCCCTCAGGTCGGGGTCGGCTTCTCTGTCCTGAGCTCTCCCGCAACAGCGCACCAAGGGCGCTCTGCAGCACGCCTGGCAACGAAATCTGGGTCGGAGTAAACATGCAAAGCACCAGAGTTTCTGGAAACCGTAAAGGAGGAAGGAGGGACAAGGAGAGGAAAAGAAGAGAGGGGAGATAAGAGGAGGGGTGTGGAGAGGAAGGCTGGAGGAAGGAGGCAGACCTCACGCTGTGGGACATCCTGGCTTTGTGCATGAGCCTCCTTTAGTCCTCCCAGTAACTGTTAGGCGCATATCCTCATCGCCCCTTTAGAGCTGTGAAAACTGAGGCTCAGAAAGGCTGAAGGCTTTGCTGAGGTCTCAGAGCTCCGAATGGCAAAGGAGGGATTCACCCCAGGCCTGACTGGCCAGAGGGCTGTAAAACAGACCCTCTTCCCTCCAGCAGGTTGGGGCACCAGGACTCACTGATGCTGGGGTGACTCGTCAGTGGGGGCCCGGCACCTGTGCCAGCATCCTTGTGCCTGGTGGGAGCTGGCCTGGGACAAGTGGTGGCAGGAGACCCTCCAGTGGAGGCCGCCTGCCCCGGCAGGATGGGTAGGAAGATAAAGACAACAGGTGCAGCAAGCCCAGTCACAGCACCCGGCACCTCAAGCACCACTCTTATGAAAGGGAAGGGAATCGGCTGGACAACATGCCAAAGCATCCCCACCAGCTCTCCTGGATGATTTGTGCTTCTTACAAGTGTTCATTCCATTCCCAAACTAGTATTTCAGCGATGAAACTTCAGACTTAGTGACATATGATGCACTAAGTCTGAGTATACAGCTGCCATCCACAAACACTGATTCGATATCCACGTAAGCTGGATTTACATCGTTGAATATGGCAGCTCCTGCCTTAAGGGGTCCTGGCTTAGCAGAGAAGATAAACATGTAAATGTGCACAAGCCCTGAAGTGTCAGGTGCTGACAGAGAAGAGATGCAGATCAGTATGGAACACTCAGAGGGCGGGGCCGGTCCTCGCTGGTGGAACAGGAAAGGCCTCAGAGACGGTGGGAGGCTTGGGCAGCTGCACAGCAGGTGAGGGCTAGGCCACAGCGCATCCGGGCCCGAAGCTGAAGAATCTGGACTCTGCCGTGCGGGCAATAGGGAGCCCTGGAAGGAGGAGGTCAGTCTATATCATAAAGGTGAGCCAAGGATCAAACTAGACAGGACGCAAGATGCAAACGCGCCATGGAAATTTACAAGTGGGCTGGAAAGGCTCCTGGAGCTGAAGGCCTCCCCAGCCGGTTCGCCTGCTGCTCCTGCCGCCCTGGAGTTTGGTCCGGGTGTCATGTGACTCTACGCATCTGCCTGGTGAGAGGCGGCTCTGGCCTGCTCTCCAGAGCGGGGCAGTGGGTCGTGGCGTAGAGCCAACTGCTATGTAAGCATTAGAGAAGAACCTTCTCTTCTTTGAGTGGAAGAAACGCCTCACGGTTTTATCTGCTTATGCTCCTTAGAGGAAAGGCTGCTCAATTGTTTTCCATTCTTTGCCTGAACATTCTCATCTTCATAGCAAGGGGGATGACTCAAGGGCCAAAAGGACTTTACCGGCCCAGTGCCACAAGGAGAGCTGCAGGCATCAATGTTTGCAGTGTGCTGCGTCAGCACGAGGTCGCGGAAAGGCAGTGGTCTGGCATCAGACAGAGCTGGACAAAAGTCTCATTTCCAGCACTAAGTAGCTCTGCAACCCAGGGAGAGTCCCCAACTCCTCCACACGCCAGTCTTCTCATCCACAACGTAAAGATCAGCATGTTTGACCTCTAGGGTGTTTTGACTGTGCATTTAAGTAAGGACAGAGTCTTGCCAAGACTTGTGAAGGGCCTGAGATTTGCCCTGCTTTCAAGTGAGCAAGTTAGCCTGTAACAGTGGCATGGATGCTAAGTTCTTCACGATCATGTAGACACATCCGAAGTTCCTCTGGGACAAAAGATGCCTGGGTAGAATCCCAGAGGAGAAATGAAAACAAAGGATTCAGAAGGGCTACCTCATAAAGATAAAGCCTGCCCTAAACGGCATCTGAGATCCCCAAACTTTCACCCCAAGTAAGCCAGAAGTTCCACAGTTCAAGTTTTCTTCTTTAGGATGAGGACTGCACAGCTGTCTGCCACATGCAGCCCTCTAGGCTGGGAGCAAGCAGGGGAGCAGTGCGGTCCGACCCCTGCCTGCAGATGGGAGAACCGAAAGGGGTGCCGAGGCACTGGTGGGATACAGAGTGGGATAGATGAGGGACAGCAGAGAACACAGACAGTCCTACCTTACTGTTTAGCTCAGCTCTGACACCTTCTCAGGCCAGAATGCCATCCTGGCCTGTGTGGGAACATGAGACAGAAAAAGGCTGAGCTTGAGGTCAGCCCAAACACCCAGGAATGTTCTAGACAAGGAACCAGTACAAGACTTATGTCTAACTTTCTATTCTTCCTAAGAAGAAATGTGGTCCCGGAGACTCCAGCGAACACATCCCACATTAAGTGCTGGCCATCTGCACAACCCTAGCATCTGCGCTATGCTGGGCACCTGCGCAACCCTGGCTACCTGTGGAACACCAGACACCTGTGCGATGTTGGCCTCCTGGGCAGTACTGGCACCGGTACAATCCTAGCATCTGAGCGATACTGGCACTTCTGCAATACTGGCTCCTGTATAATACTGGGTACCTGGGCAACACAGGCTCCTGAGCAGCACTGGCACCCGGAAAATACTGAACACCTGTGCAGTATTGGCACCTGTGCCATACTGGGTACAGCTGTGCAACACAGGCATCTGTGCAAACTCAAACCTGCACAATACTGGTACCTGTGTAATATGGGCCACCTGAGTAACACTGGTACCTGGCCATTACTGGGCACGGACGTGGGGCTGACAATTAAATGAACCTGTTGATGTCTTACAGTTGATTGTCACCAGCTGAAGATGACGACGTGGCTCCTGGGAGATGACAAGGCGCAGAGTGGTTCTCCTCTTGGAGCTTTGATTTCCTCACTAGGACAAAGGAGGTGATGAATCCCACACCCCTTCCTCGTGAAACTGTTAGAGTCGGCCAATGCCATGAGATGCAGAGGTGCTTCAAAGTGAGGAAAGCGCTCTACCACAAGTATTCTTTCCTTCCTTTCAGTGCCCTGCGCCATCAGAGAGAGATTTTTGCAAGTTGCAATGCACTATCACAGAGAGATTTCTGATTGTGAGGGGGATTGCTTCCTCACAGACATGTTTGATATTCAAAAAAAAAAAAAAAAGGCTGGAGATTTTAAACAGCTAAGCTGAACTGGAATTCTTGGCAGCTAACTGCAGCTAACCCCCAGGGAGGAAAAAGGAAGTTCTCTAACTTGTTTATTCCACCCAATATTAATCACTTGCCATAGAAAAATGATTCTAGCAGGAAAACATGTGCAGCTGCTATTTGAAAACAATTTTAAATATATATATACATATTTGTGTATACATACATGAACAGTTGAAACTTAAACAACACAGATTTGACTACACAATTCAACACATATTTGACTTCACAACAACTCCATTTGTATGTGGATTTTCTTCCACCTCTGCCACCCCTGGACAGCAAGACTCACCCTCTTCCTCCTCCTCCTCAGCCTGCTCAGCGTGCGGATGATGAGGTCAGAGCCCTTCACGATGGTCCCCTGCTGTGTAATGAATAGGAAATATATTTTCTCTTCTTAATAGCAGTCTTTTCTCTAGCTTAGTTTACTGTAAGAGAATATGTGTATACAGTATACAATACATATAACATGCAGAATACATGTTAAATGTTATCAGTAAGCCTTCTGGTCAACACTAGGTGATTACTAGTTAAGTTTTAAAAGAGTCAAAACATATGTGGATTTTCAACTGTGTGGAGAGTTGGTGCCCCAGGCCCCACCTTGTTCAAGGGTCAACAGTATATATATGTGTGTGTGCATGTATGTCCATGTGTGTGTATATAAGTATGGGTGTATGTGTATCACATTTTAACATACTAATAAAGTCAGATTTTATTTAAAAGAATCTTACTCAAAGCCACCAAGAGTCAAATGGGCTCACTGGTTGGTAAGTACAAACTTCACAACTTCTCTGGCAGTACATTTGGCAGTGTGCCAAGAATCTTATTAAAGTTCAAATTCTTTGATCCAGAAATTCTACCTCTCTAAAAGTATATCTTGAGGAAATATTCTAAAATACAGGCCAAGATTTCAGATAAAAAAGACTTATAGTAGAAATAGCTCTTGCAGTAGGAGAAATAAAGAACTGTTTAAGTGTTCATTAGAAGAATATTAAGAGAATTATGATGCAGACTTGCAAGTAGATATTCTACAGCAAGATGATGCTACAGAGAATTTCAATAAGTTGGAGAAGTACTTATGATGTCATGTTAAGTGAAAAACATTGAAACACACATTATACCCAGTCTAAACTCGAGCAGGCCAGAAAGGCACACAAAAGATTGGCAAAGTTCGCCTGCATATTATTGCACAGTAACTACTCAGGGTGCTAAGACCATTAAGAGAAGTTTCCATAGGAATCAAGGAAGCTTTTCTGAGACTCTAACCTCTTCAGAGGCCAAGACAGAAGCTTCAGTGTGGGCCTCTTCTCTGCGCTCCACGAGAAGGCACATTTATGGGTTCCCTCTTCCCGCTGCCCAACTCCTGTCAGTGTCCCACAGTAGCACTGTGCGTCCCACAGTCTCCTGAGATTCTGCAAAGTGGCTGCTTTTCTCCACTTACTCCGCAGAGGGCCTTAGATCCTGAACTAGAGTTTCTTCAGCAGATAGCGGCAGGTTATGAGTCATTGCTTTCTGATACTTTCCTCCTATGAAGTACTTTTCCAAATCTTCTACCAAAATATATAATCAGAAAAAAAAAAAAATGGATGAGCCTCACCAAGGGTTGGCACTGTTGCAAAATGCAGACTATTTCACAGCCTGCCCTCAAGGGTCTTTAGAACCAAATAGAAAAAGTAGATCATCATGATTATCACCCAGACTACAAGGAAGGCTGTGCAGAGTGATTTCAGACCTATGCCCAGCCATGCTGCTTGGTAAACATGCCATGGGTTTAGAAGCTTATTGTGGATGGGGATGGTGAGATGGGAGAGAACCAGGGGGCCCCAGCTGCCAAAAGGCACAGAAGAGATTAATATAGCCCAGCTCTCTCCCTTAGCAGGTGGGGAGACCAGGAGGGGATGGGGAAGGGCTTGTCTGAGACTACAGGATGCATCAGAGGTGAGCTATGACTAACACCTGTGAATGTACTGAGCACTTACTATGGACCAGGTATGATCTAGTCTCTCATTTAATTCTCACAACTATTTTCTGAGATAGGTGTTATTATTTTCTCCCCATTTTACAGATGAGGAAACTAAGAAGAAGAAATATCACAAAGCTTATCCAGATTGCATAGCACCAAGTGGCAAAGGCAGGGGCTGAACCCAGCCTTCAGCCAGTACTCTTAACCACTACACAGCAGTTTTGAAACTGCTAGGTCTGAAATGGGAGAGTTATACTGAGTTTCTGGGAACACGAGGCCTGTTTAACTGGAGAGCCTGCAAAGGAATTGCTCTACAAGGGCCCAGACACACTCCTGCTGAGCATGAGGTAGGCGGGTTTATCCACAGCCCTTGCCCAGCCAAGCCAGCTTCCCCATCTGCAGAGCTGGCATTTATCCCAACGGAAAAAGGTGCTTCCCCTGCCAAAACCTCCAGAGGCCAGGGCAGATACCCCACAACGTAGTTATTTCTTTTATGATTTCCCTGCTTCACCAGGGATGTCTACCTTAGATGGGATAATGGAGGGGTAATGGCAAATCCTTCCAGAAATGTCCTGAATGGATGCAGACACTCAAGTCTCAGGATAGGAGAAAACCCTGGTAGTCGGGATGGGGGATGATGTCTTGGGGTCAGGTTCGGAAGCTTTGTTCATTGTCCAAGGCAGAGCATAACTTGTGGAGCCCCAAGCAGGCAGAGCATGACCTGTACCGTACTAAGAGAATGCACCTTCCTTTCAAGTCACTGAGTATGCATGGACAGCCTCCTATGTACCCAGCCCTGTGTGTACACTGGGTCTCTAGAAAGGAATGCCTGCCTTCAAGGAGGTCCCAGAGACAGATAATGAAAAGTAACCCAAAAAATGTCAATAAAGCTTGCTAAGTGCAGGGATGGAGGGAACCACAGTATGCATCCATACATGACCCAGAAGGTGGCAGGATGAGAAGTGAAGCATTGGTCACACCAACCGTCCTGGAAGAACAACTCTGTTGGTCTGGATGGATGAGGAGGAAGTATTGAGTTGCCAATTATTTGAGTTAGCAAATGAGGAATTTCAGGAAGAAGAGGAGTGATAGGTAGACATGAATGTGGCATGTTCAAAGTCCTGTGAGTAGTTGGGGGATATACATGAGACAGGCAAGCTGGCAGGAGGCAAGCCTATAAGTGGGCAGGAAGATGCTCATTAATAGGGTCAAGCCATGAAGTTTCTGCTCTGCTCTGCAGCAAAGCAGAAAATCAGGAGTGGCATGATCAGATTAGGAATTTTGAAATACCAGTTTTAGTGCCAGGAGAGGCCAAAGAGATGAAAATACCCACCATTTTTGAAAACCCTTAATTTGGAAGAACACATTATCTCTGAAAAAGAAGTGAGCAACCTTATCTTCCTGGATGGTACAGCAGCAGCCACCAACACGTAAGCACTTAACGGCACATGAGCCTGGATCCCTTTCTCAGATTAGCTGGGAAAGCAAGACTAGGCCCAAAGATCATAAAGCATAGGAAAAGCACTTAATTTGTTTTTAATATCATTATTATCACTTTTAATATACTATTAGAAGTAGTGGCTCCAGTAAAGATGGCACAAGTAAATTCCCTCCTTAGATGCATCACCTCTGTTCTAAATATATGATTGTAAGAGATAAAGCACAAAAGAGAGAAAGTAGCCACAAATTGAGGAGGACATTTGTGTGAACTCAGAAAAAAAACAGAGCTATAGAGAGGCACCGGCTTGCTGACTCAGAAATGACTATGGCTGAATAATAGGAAGTAAAAATATTTGCCTGTCAAGGGAGGCCCAGAGTTCAGAAAACCCAACTCTAAAATAAAATGGGCCCTCCAAGCACAGAGAAGACCAAGCACACGTAAGTTCACACCTTGACACATTCTAATAAAACCACAGAAGAGCAGGGGAAAGGAGAGATTACCGCCAAAGGACTGGTAATTGGGCTAATGGATGACTTCCCTGACAGCAGCAAAGGAAGCCAGAAGGCAATGGATTAGCTACTATATACTGAGCAGAAATTACCCAGAAAGTGGAAAATAGAAACAAAAGATAGAGGGAGAAGTTAAGAGATGAAAGATATATGGAAGACTGAGTAAGACCTAATATACATCTAATCATATTTCTAGAAAGGGAAGAAAGAAATGGTGAGAGAACATAGGTAGCTGAGAATTTTCCAGAATTAAAGACACCAATCTTCAGAATACAAAAATCCCAAACCCAAGGAGGAAAAATGTGAAGAACCCATACCTAGGCATATCACAGTGAAATTGCTAAACAGTGATGAGAACAAGAATATATTAGAAGTAAAATAAGAGAAAATATAGGGTAAATTTTAAAGTGTCAACAATTATTTTAACAGGTAACTTCTCAATAGATGTGAAGTCATAAAAAACTGAAACAATACTTTCAAGGAGAAGGTAAAGAAAATTGTCAACCTAGAATTGTACAGTTATCAATAACATGATGAAAGAAAGACATTTTCAGCCCAAAAAAATTCTTACTAAAGGAAATTCTAAAATAATTCAGGAAGAAAGTAATGCTAGATAGAAAGTGTGAGATGAAATGATAAGAAAAGATATAAGTAAATTTAAACAAATACTGATTTATAAAATAATAATTATGTTCAATGAGATTAAAAATATGGTAAAACTAAAATGTTGAATATCAACACCATATTTAGAAAGAAGAGTTAAAATTAAAATGTTCTCGGGTCCTATATTGTTTGGGGAAATGACAATGATATTCATTAAATTTTGACTCTGATAAGTTACACACACCTATTACAGAAAATAGGAAAAAAGTATAAATTCTAAACTAGAGCCAACAAAGTAAAATGGTAAAAAAAAATCAATTAAAAAAAATCAATAAAAATAAATATAGGAAAAATTCAGAAAGTACAGAGTAAGCTATTGGAAATCAATCCAATTATACTATAAATATAATTAATGTAAATTTATTAAATTATCCATTTAAAAGAGAAGATTTTCATAATAGAAAAGTAAAACAGATGCTGGTTACAAGAAATAGATCTAAAACATATCAATAGAGAAAGGATAAAAGTAAAATGTAAAAACAAACCATGCAAATACTAATTCTCTTAAAAGCTAATATAAAAATTATAAACTTGTATGCAGCTAAAACATGGTCTTAAAATGTATAAAGCAAAATTGACAGAACTTCAAGGAGAAATATACAAATCTACCGTTATTTCAGGAGATATTGACAGGAGGGGGAGGGGAAGGGGAGAGGAGGGGGAGGGGAAAGAAGAGAATGGAAGGAAGGAGGGAGGAGAGGAGGAAGGAGGGAGGAGAGGAGGAAGGAGGGAAAGAGGGATGAAGGAGACATGCAAGATTTGAAAAACACATCAATATCAATACAATGGAGATCAAGGTAGGTAGGAAGGTAGGCAGAGAAAGATGATAGAAGATAACTTGATTGATTGATAGACAATCAATTAATATTCATTAGTGTCCAACAATAAAAAAAAATACACCTTTGCTTCAAGTCCACACAGAATATTTACAAAAACTGTTCACACACTAAGACCAAAAAAAAGTCTAAACTATTTTCAAAGGATTGGTATCTTGGCATCTTACAAACTCCATTCTCTTACCACAATGTAAAAACATCAATAACATAAAGATTATATACATATATGTATTCAATGACATACTTCTAAATAACATGAGTCAAAGAAATGATAGTCAAAATTAGAAAATATTTAAAACTTAAAGATAATAAAAGACTGCATATGAAAATGAAATGAAAATTTGGTATATGAAAGGTCTTCAAAAACTTCATGGAAAATATGTACTATGAAAAAACTACCAGTATCCATAGATTTCAAAATTGTTTTGCACCAAAATAAACTCATACTAACTTTTCATAACATGTCTGAACAGAATCTAGTGTGAGGCACTAAGAAATGTAAAATATCAGTTTGAAAAGAACCCCTAACAGAGCAACATAAATTCTGTGAAAATTGAAGCAAGAGCAGATATAAGATATATGGTGAAGCTTGGTGGAAGAATGGTGAAACTATTGATGCTTTGTGAAAATTTTATGGGGACAATGCCCCAAAGAAATCAGCAGTTTACAAATGAATTACTCATTTTAATATGGGGCAAGATGATGTTGAAGATGAAGCCTTCAGCAGTAAAACATCCACATCAATTTTGGAGGAAAAAATTTTGTAGTACCCTAATTGAAGAGGACAGGTGGTTAAAAACAGAAACAATAGCCAACACCAGATGTCTTAACTGGTTCAGCTTACATATTCTGACTGAAAAGTTAAAGTTAAGCAAACTTTTCACTTGATGCTGCCAAAACCACTATAATCCTGAAGACAAAGCACAACCAAAACCATGGCTACAAGAGGGGGAGGTGGTCCAGTTGAAGCAAAGTGGATCAGTCAAGAGCAAAGGTCATGGCAGCAGTTTGGGGGGAGGCTCAAGGCATTTTGCTTGTTGACTTTCTGGAAGGCCAAAGAACAGTAGCATCCACTTGTTATGAGAGTGTTTTGAGGTCAGCCAAAGCTTTAGTAGAACAACCCCTGGGAGACAGCAGAACTTTCTCGTCACACAAGGGCAATTTTGCAAGAGTTTTGATGGGACATCATTATGCATCCACCTTACAGTCCTGACTTGGCTCCTTCTGACTTCTTTTTTTATTTCTTAATATTAAAGAATCTATAAAGGGCACAAATTTTTTCTTCAATTGATAATGTAAAACAGATTGCATTGACAGTCTTTTTTCCCAGGACCCTAAGTTCTTTAAGGATGGACTAAATGGCTGGTGTCATAGCTTACAAAAGCATCTTGAGCTTGATGGATCGTATGCTGAGAAATAAAGTTTATGTGTCTTACTTTTAATCTTTTAATTCCATTTTTTTTCCATGAACTTTTTGAAGTCTCTTTGTATAGGTAGAAATTTATAGCCTTAAATATTAATGCTAGGAACAAGAAAGTCTGTAATTTAATGAGCTAAGCATTTGACTTTAGAATAAACCTAAAGAAAATAGAAAGGAGAATGTACTAAAGATGAAAACAAAAAATAATGAAAAATAAGCACACACAATAGACAGAAAATAACGCCAAAGATCTGTCCTTTGAAAACACTAATTTTAAAACTTTAGGCAAAAGTAATCAAGAAAAGCATGAGAGAAGGCACAAACAAATAATTTAGGAGTAAAACAGAAAACAACTTTTAATGCTATAGATATTTAAAATGCAATACAAGGACATTACAAGCGACACTACACCAATAAACTTGAAAACTTATATAAAATGCGCAAATTTATTTTAAAAATAACTTACCAATGCTAAGGAAAAATACAAGTCAAGAATTCTGAATGGTCCTATAACCCTTAAAAAAAACTGAGTAGTAGCTAGAGAGATCTCCTCCCAGAGAGAGCACTGAATCCATCCCGTTCCACAGAGAGCTACACCAAATACCCGAAAGATGCACAGTTCTACTGAGATTCCTCCAGAAAACAGACAATGGCCTCATTTCATGAGGTTGACATAACCTAGCACAACCAAAATCCAACCACAACAGTAGAGAAAATAAAATTACAGGCAACCTGTCTTTCATGAATATAGATGTAAGAAAACCTTAAAATGTGAACTGAATCCAGCAATGTCTAAGACCACACTAGGCTTACTCCAAAATTGTAAGGTTGAGGTTAACTTTAAAAAAAAAAAAAAAAAATCAATGAATGAATCATAGACTTATCTATTAGCAATTCATAAAACAATTATGAAAAGCAATTCATAAAACATATATTCATTATAAAAATCCTTAACAAGCTAATAATAGAAGGAAAATTCCTCAACCCAATAATATAAACCTCATGTATAACAGTGACAAATTGAAAGTATTCCCTTAAGATTAGGAGTAGGTACAGGCCCACTGTCACTATTTCCATTAGACATCAGACTGGCGTCCCAGCTGGCATAGAAAGACAAAACATAATCAGAATCTGTCTAATCAAAAATATTAGACAAGAACCAAAACAGTTGGTACTTGCAGATAATATGACTGTCCACATAGAAAACCCAGAGCATCTACAGATAAACTACTGACTTAATAAGAGAGTTTACTAGATAGAGGTCATTTTTTAAAATTGCATTTCTATACACTAACAACAATTTTTAAACACATCATTTCTAAAAGTACCATTTAAAATTGTATCAAGAATGTAAAGTCTACAAGAATAAATGTAACAAAGAATGTGCCTGACCTATATAAACAAAATAATGAACTTAATTAGAACATACTAAAGAATACCATTATCTATGTCTTGAATGTATTCCAACCACAACACAACACTGGCTGAGTTTTGTCTCGTTGTTGTGTTTGTGACTACGTAACGTGATCTGCTGTTTCTAATACTGACATGGAAGAGCAAAAACTAAGGCAGCCAGGATAGTTCTGAAGAAGCAGAGTTGGTAGGAAGACTTACCCTGTCAAAACTGAGTATTGCAGAGCTGGAGTCATCAAGCAATGAGGCATTGGTGAAGGAGGGGAAAAGGCAGGTGGAAATGAATAGAGAAACAAAACACTGGCCACGCACGCAGAACTGAGATTGCACTTCCATGAGAAAACCTGGACTTCTGAGGAAATAAAGAAAACATGTTTCCCACCCATCCTGATCTTTACGTGGACTTTCTCGTCTCTGCTGTGGGTGCCGGTGTCTCCACGCCGGCAAGAGGCTGGCGGTCTGGGGCTCACCCCGGGTGCTGGGGAGTCCAAGCCGCGGTGGGTGACGCCCCACAACAAGGAGCCCACGACAAGGAGCCGCCGGCCACACAGAGACTCACAGGCGCCCGGCCCCAAGACCGAGGGTCCTAAGGAAGAGTAGCTGGCAATGCCAAATATGGTTTACAGACTCAACTCCAGCATTGCAGTGTTCCTTATAAAGGGTGGGTTTGGAGCAGAGAAAAAAATATAGCTTCATATTAAACTGGCACAACCACAAGATTAAACCGCCCCGGTTCCAGTGACAGGGGCCCTGGGCCCCTCTTTCAACTCCCGTGTCTGGGCTGCTGTCCCACCTTCCACTTCAGGCCTGTCTTGGCATCCCGCCTCTGCCTCAGGCCCCACAACACACCTGCTGGCCAGGCCCGCGTGCTCTTCCCAGTACACGCTCCTCCCCAGGCCCGGCCTGAGCAGGTTGCTCCCTGAACCCAGAGCCGTCTCCTGACTCCGTCCGCTCCAGCGGCCTGGGCCCTTGAGCCAGCGCCCTCGGACCCACAGGCGGCCGCACACCACAGGGCCCAGACTGGCGAGTCCACACCGTAGACCTCAGCCCGCTGTCCTCAGCGTTTGTGCTGTTCTACATCTGCTCCATTCACCGATCTGGTGGCTTCAAGGGGCCAGCTCTGCCCATGCCGTCAAGGGGCCAGCTCGTGATACCCATCATTCCACATCCAGGGTGCCCACCAGCACCCGTTCCTGCAGCCACTTCCGAGTTCCAATCATGATCTGTCGCCGTTAGGTACTGAAGAGGGTCAGCAGGAGCTGCCGGGCAATCTTCCCACGTGGGATGGTGAATCTGGAAGATAGACTCCAGAAGGTCAATGAGGGCCTGCGGTTTCTCTGAGTAGGACGGCATATGGTGCTTCAAATTCAACAGATCGGTGGTGGAGAAAGGCTGATAATACAGGGCAGGTTGCCCCAGCTAGATGGTTCCGTCATCCCGAACCTGCAGCAGACCTCGCATTTCACGCAGAGGCATCTGGAAGGCTGGGGCAGACCGCAACCAGTGGACGAATGGTGGAGATGCCAGCAGTGGAGAAACCGATGGTGGTGGGGTGTCAGGTGCAGTCCCAGTCACCTCTCCACAATGAATGCATGAAACTTATCAGCACACACCTTACAACTGTTGGCTTGGATTCGAACCCTCCCATGTTTATCCAGCACTCCTGTTCCCAACACCTCCCAACACTCCTTTTCTGAACCTTGTCCCTGCTTAGACTCTGATCCCTGCTCTATCTCCTAACCAGCGCTTCCATTCCCTACGCCGCCTGACAACACTCCTTTTCTGAACTTTGTCCCTGCCCAGACTCTGGTCCTTGCTCTGGTTCCTAACCAGCGTTCCTGTTCCCTACGCCACCCAACACTACTTTCCTGCTCTCAGGTGGCCACCTAGCTTTGTCCCTTGAGGGAACTTAGGCGTGTCTTGGCAATCACCGTTATGCTGCTGCCACAGAACCCCAGATTAGGACCCACTCAAATCCCATAGCCGAAGCTATGGGGCTACCGACACAATGACTGCAAGCAGTCACTGTTCCACTCAGATACATTCCCTCCCCTGGGGGATCCCCATCCTTAGGAGCCTAATGGGCCTCCCCTTCTGTCCCACTGACAGGCTTACACCCTAGGAGCTGATAGGCTCCTCTTCTGTCCCACTGACAGCCTACTCCGGTGGGTCCAGGGACTGTACCTTGTCCAACATCATGGCCTTGGTCTGCTGCTGCAGCTTAGCCCGGCACCCACCTGCTCAGCCTCCTGCTATTGCCCCTGACCAACAGCACCGTGGAGGTCAGCACCCGCCGGGAGGCCTGTTGCAGTGTGGTCTGCCTCAGTGCCCCTGCTTCCCCTCCCTCAACAAAGCCTTGGCAAGCTTATTGCCCTTGGCCAACAGCTCTTGGTGCTGAAGGAGAGAGATGCTACTCGGTGCCACCCACCATACGGGTGCAGTCCACTTGCCGTCCACACCATAGATCTCAGCCCAATGTCCGTGGTGTTTGTGCCGTTCTCCATCTGCACCGTTCACCGATCTGGTGACTTCAAGGGGCCAGCTAGGTCAGCTTTCCTGGTCAGGGAACCAAAATGTTGCAGCAATGTGTACAGCTAGTGTTACAGCTCTTGTTCATTTGACCGGGGAAAGAACCGAGCAGCCCATGAAGAGCCGGAGAACAGCCTTTATTCTTCCACAGCAGGCTCAACACACCTACTGTTATAGCTCTCTTTGCATCTTCCAATCTTCTCACCCTTTTGCCTTTTCTGACCCTGCTTTTATACCCTTGGTAGGGCTCAAAAAGCATCCAATCAACTACAAGCTTTAACATCCAATCAACATCAAGCTTTAACATCCAATCACCAACAAGCTTTAACATCCAATCAACATCAAGCTTTAACATCCAATCACCAACAAGCTTTAACATCCAATCAAAAACAGTGGGATTCAAAAATTACCCAATCAGGATCACGCAAACAGCGCCATAGGCAGCTGCATGTGGTCCCGGGGGCATTCCCAGTGGCTCTCTGCCTTGGGGCCGCCCCAGAAGTGTGCCCTCCACTTGGCCACAGCATTGGTGGCCCAGAGATGCAGAGCGACAGGGAGGCAGCAAGTGGCTTTCAGAAAGCGCTGTCTCGGTTAGGCCTCGCAGCAGCCAGGAGGTAACTGCTATTAGCGCAGAGAGCGCTGCAAGCTCTGAGGCCCGAGCACACCTCGAACAAAGCACGCAAAAGCTTGCCCTGGGTGACAGAACGAGTCAACGGCAGGGCCAGCATTAGCAAGAATCAGCTGCGTTCGGAGCAGCCCAGGGACGGTCCTCCTGCAAGCGTCTGGCTGGCCCGCGCCCTCGGGGTCCCACCGCAGCCGCCTATTTCTCGCAGTCCTGAAGGCGGCCCGGCCTGGGGAAGGCGGCCCGGCCTGGGGAAGGCGGCCCGGCCTGGGGAAGGCGGCCCGGCCTGGGGAAGGCGGCCCCGGCCTGGGGAAGGCGGCCCGGCGTCCTCACAGGGCGGAGAAGAGGGACTGCGAGGGAGCGGCGCCCCGCCTCTGGCCTCGCTCGCTGGCCAGGGCCGCGCCCGCGTGGCCACCCTCCCACGCATCTAACCGCCGCTGCCCAAAGGCCGCCTCCTCAGTGCCAGCGCGGCTGCGGGCTCCCGCGGGCGGGGGAGGCGCACGCCCCCGCAGCCCTCCGCGGCGCAGGCCCTCGCCTACCGTCCGGACGCCGCAGAGCCCGGGGCCAGCCCGCCCTGCTCAGGGACGTGCCCCCTCGCCACGCCCCTCCGCGATTGGACCGGGACACACCATGTCCACGTGCCCTCTGGCCACAGCTGATTGGTCCAGGCAGAAGCACCTGACCCAGGCTAAGCCAATCACAGTGTTTTCAGCCCCTCCCCACCTTATAGTTGCCCCCATGCAGAAGAGGGCATTTGACCGAGTTGGGCTAACTCAGAGCCCTTCTGTGGGATTCTAAAATTGAGTCCTGAGGACACGTACCTCTGTCCTCCTGTGCCAGTGGGCAATGCATTGTGATGCCAGGGGACCCAGTTCGAAGCTCTGGGCAGGCATGTCGCCCACCATGGGCCGAGTGGAGAAAATAACAGTTTTGTAAGTAAAATCCCACAAGGACCGAGGTAACCTGGCCCATGTGTATAGGTGTCACATGCTCTGTCCTGTGAATAACACCTGGAGAAGCCTGGGGGTGGGAACTGGCAGCCTCTAGAACAGACTGCACACCCCCCTACAGCCACGCAGCGTTTGAATGTCACGGTGCTGCCCTGCACAGGGATTTTAAAAACACTGGATTACTTGCCCATGTTTAAAAATTGGAGGACATCCCATAAATATCTGCATTTATGGATTCTCTTAAAAAAGTAGAGAAACTGGAAACATTGGGCTTTTGTCCTTGTTGGCAACAACATGCTGGAAGCCAGATGGCTGACTGCTGTGGGCTGGGCACATTCTCACTTGACCACAGCCTGCCTTGGTCTCCATCACGCCCCCACCTGAAGTCACATGTCAGCTGCCATTTATGTCTGTCTCTGCACTGTTCCTTCATGGGAGATAAAGGGCTGGGCCAGGAGGACTGTGCATTTTAGGGCGTTTGGGAGACAAGTGTTACTTTGTGGAAGAAAAGAGTGCTCCTGCATGATAACAAGCAAACAGAATCTGTGCTAACATGAGACAACCGAAGACGTTACAGACCTAACAATTGTCAGTTCACTCCGTGTGCGGCTGGCTTGGCCCTTCTGCATGTTTTGTTCTTCGAGAGCTGCTCTAGGCTCTTAATCGTCCTGGGCACCAGTAATTCAAATTCAAGGTCAGCAGTTAGCACTCAAAGGGCAACATTTGCTGTTTATAGAAGGTGCACTCCGAGACTCATGTTCTACTGTCTTAGTCTTGTTTCTGCTGCTATAATAAAATGCCTGAGACTGGGCGATTCATAAAGGACAGAACATTATTCCTCACAGCTCTGGAGGCTGGGAAGATGGAGATCAAGGCCCTGGCAGGTTTGGTGTCTGCGGAGGGCCTGGTCTCTGCTCCAAGATAGCACCCTGCTGCTTCGTCCTCCAGAGGGGAGGAACGCTGTGCCCTCTCACGGCAGAAAAGGTGCAGAGGCCTGAGGGCCACCGAGTTCTCCCCAGCCCTTTCCCATGGTGCTAATTCCACACACAAGGCAGAGCCCTCCCGGCTTCATCACTAGAGACCTCACCTCTTAATGCCGTTGCACTGGGGATGACGTGTCAACAAGAATTTTGAAAGAGACACAAATATGCAAGCCATAGCACCTACATAAAGAAAATTAAAACATGAGGCTCTGTTATGACAAGCAAATGTCCTGCTTTGTGTCCCTTGAAGGTCTGTGGCCAGGAATATCAAGTTCCCCATTCTTATGTAAAAGAAAAAATCTTCAAGAAATTCAAACATGATCTTTCAAGAAATAGTTAGCAAATGTCCAAAAGGTATGTTTTCCTTAGCAGGATCTGGTAGGATGTGGATAAAAAATCATATATCTTATTTATCTAGTGGTGTTGGCCTGCCCACCTCCATGTGAGTGCTCATGGTTTCTGATTAAAAAAAATGGAATTACTAACTCACTTTTCACCTGCCATCTGTGCCTTTCCATTCCCAGTCAGCCACTTCATGACAGCCATCTTGTTCCCAGGCCCAGCCTTGACACGCTCTGCTAACTGCCAGGGCTCCGTGGAGGAGCTGGACCAGCCAAGGCTCTAACAGGCAAGGACAGAATCACAGACAGACGGGATGTTGTCTTGTTCTTTAGTAAATGAAGAGACGCTGGTTCACAGAGGTCAAGGGGCTCCAACTCACTGGTTCTTCTTTTTATTTCAAAATATTATGGGGGTACAACTGTTTTTGGTTACATGGATGGCTTTCGTAATACTCAAGTCAGGGTTAAAAGTACGCCCCTCACCCTGATAGCTTCACTGTTCCCTGAGGCTAGCGCTTCTTCCTCCTCAAACCTGTGGATCCCCTTCCGCCTGGGGCCCTTGTGTCTGCCAACTCCTCCCTCTGGAACGCTCTCCTCCCCGCCTCCGAAAGCTGGCTCCTTCCCGTCTAGATGTGCCTCCTCAGAGGTCTGCTCGGCCATCACATCTGCCCATGCCTCCCAGCCTTCTGTCTTAGGTCCCTGTGTCACTCCCTCACAGTGTCTGACGAGTGCTCATCGGTTGAATGCTCCTTGATCCTGTGGTTCTTTGGATTTTTCATGTAACTTTCTGCTCAAAAACCTCTCCTAACTCCAAACATAACCTCAAGATCACATCACACTCACTAGCTGAGCACTCAAGCACTCCGCTGCCTAGGCTGACAGCCTCCCAGCCCAGTGCACCCCGCTCACCCCTCGAGCCAGCCCAGCCCACAGCAGTGCAGGGGCTTTGTAAGTGGGCCTCAGGGGCAGTTTATAAAGAAAAGTGAGCCTAAGCCCCTGTGTGGTGTGGGGAAGGGGCAGCCTAGCTCTGCCGCCGCAGTGAGAGTGAGGGAGGGTGGCGAGGAGGCTCGAGGCGAGACAGGAAGAGGGAGTGGGGCGGGGCGGCAGGGCTGGGTGGGCGCTGCCAACGTGTGGGGTGGCAGTCGTCCTGGCCTTTGGGCTGGGTGCTGCCGTAGGTGGCAGGACGGGCCGTACCAGTGTTGGGGCTGAGATGAGGTGTTAATGGTGGTGGTGGTGGTTTCAAGGTGATGGTGGTGTTTGGGGGAGGCAGAGGTGGCTGTGGGGACAGGAATGGGCTGACGGGGGGTACATCACACTGGGACTCCGGTCATGGATCTGACAGAGCTGCCTGGGTCTCCCTGACAGGGTCTCACCTAAATCACTACCCAGTTGGGGTAACCCAGGGGCACCCCAATCCCAAGTAATCACTCCAATCCTAACTCAGGACACTGGAAATGACTCTGGCTGTGTGAGACAAGGGCCACACACAATTTAGGTGTGGAAAACCTACAACTTGGAGAGTGAGGGCCTGGACAGGTCCACTGCAAACAGACCCAGCTGCGATCCCCAGAATCCTTCAGCCCCGCCTGCTCCAGGCGTCTTTGAGACAGCAGCCGGCAGCCGGGCACCTGCCCGCACGCTCCCAGGCACCTGCCCGCACGCTCCCAGGCAGCTGCCCGGCAGGGTGTCAGTACTGGCGGGCACTCAGCAGGCACTGGTAACAGGCGGCCGGAAAGGCAGGCGGAGGCCGTCGGTGATCTGGCTGTGGAATCTCAGGCCTCCCCAACTCACCCAAGTGCCCGAAGAGCAGAAAAAGCCCCGGGGACCGCGGGGCGTCTGTTGAGCAGCGGAGGAGCCGATGTGGTGAGACGGGCCTCTCTGTGTCAGGCTGGACTCCGTCAATGAGAGCTGTGCGGGGCCAGTGGGCCCACCCAGCGCATCCACTTTGCAAAGAGGGAAGAGGCCAGGAGTGAAGGTGCGAGTGAGCGACCAGGTTTGTCTATTTGTGGAGGGGTGGGGCCACAACGAGTTCTGCAATCATTTATTCATTCTTTTATTTGCTCCTTTGTTCATATGGGCATTCATCTTTTTTTTTACTTCATTTGCTCAATAAATGTAGCACTTGGCCAGGAAATAGCAACAGGCCCTGATCAAGGAAAGAGGCAACCGACTTCAGGCCACAATGCAGCAAACGTCATCCAGAAGTAGTTTGCAAGTGAAGCAGGAAAGCAGGGACCTGGGTGAAGTCAGCAGGGAGGGCTTCCTGGAGAAGGAAGAGCAGCAGACTGTCCAGGCTGAGAGATGCTGCAGGTAAAGGGGTGAAGGCAGAAGTGAATGGGGTGCATTGCAGGTGAGCAGAGCAGGCTCCCGGGAGACCTTGAGAGAAGGGGGAGCCGTGGCCA